GGCTGAGGGGGCTGTGGGGATGTGGGGATGTGAGGGCTGAGGGGGCTGTGGGGGCTGTGGGGGGACGCAGGGGCAAAGCGGACCTGGGGCGACCCGAACAGGAGCCAGGGAGCCACAGGAGGCCTGGGCACCGCCGTGGGGCAAACCACGGCCAGGACAGCACGGTGACAGCGCTGGAGCCCTGCGGCCCCTTCCTGCTGCAGCTCCCAGCAGGACCCATGGCAGGGAATCAAGTCCTGGGCTGGTTTGGGTTGGAAGGACCTTAAAGCCCCTCCAGTTCCACCCGCCTGCCACGGCCAGGGACACCTTCCACTAGAGCAGAGTGCTCCAAGCCCCATCCAACCTCGTCTTGGACACGTCTGAGGATGGGGCAGACTCAGCTTTTCCGGGAAACCGCCCTCACAGGGAAGAATTTCTTCCCAGGATCCCATCCAGCCGTGCCCTCTGGCAGTGGGAAGCCATTCCCCCCTGTCCTGTCCCTCCAGGCCCGTGTCCAAAGCAAAGCAAGGGGCAGAGCCCCCTCCCCAGCCCGTGGGTGTGGCCGGGCTGTGTCCCGGTACCTGCTTGCTGCGTTTTCGGGCCTCCTCCAGCATCGCCCCCCGCTCGGCCGCCCGCTGCAGGACCTTGCCCAGCCGCTCCCGGGCCGCCAGCACCAGGTTCTGGATGACGGCCCCGTCCTGCTTCCGACTGAAATCCTTCAGGCGAGCAGCCACAGCCTCCAGGCTGCCCAGCTTCTCCCCGTGGACGTTCGCCTCCTTCACCAGGGCCTGCGGGCAGGGGGCAGCTGAGTGCGGGTGGTCCTGGGGCAGGTGAGGAGCCCCCGGACACAGCCAGGACAGGACAGGACATGGAACACTGGACACAGCCAGGACAGGACATGGAGCACCGGACACAGCCAGGACAGGACAGGACATGGAGCACTGGACACAGCCAGGACAGGACAGGACATGGAGCACCGGACACAGCCAGGACAGGACAGGACATGGAGCACTGGACACAGCCAGGACAGGACAGGACATGGAGCACTGGACACAGCCAGGACAGGACATGGAGCACTGGACACAGCCAGGACAGGACATGGAGCACCAAGAAGAGCCCGTGCCAGGACAGGACATGGAGCAGCAGGCACACGCTGGGCTGGGCACGGAGCACAGACATCCCACTCGCAGCAGATCCCTGCAGGGGCCGCGCAGGAGCCCTCGGGCAGACCCAGCTCCACGAACCGGCCCCGAGCGCAGGGCGCCGGCCCCGCCCGCTCTTGCCTTGTGCTCCTGGATCTGGGCGGTGACGGTGTCGAGGACGAAGCTGGGGGGCGCGGGGGACCCCAGCAGCTCCTCGGCGTGGGCCACCCAGCGCAGCAGCTCCTGCGCGGAGCCGTGGAACTCGGTGGTGACGGTCAGCCCCTCGGCCAGGCGCTCCTGCGGGCAGGGGCAGGCACCGGTGGAGATGGGATCCCGCCGCTCCTGACCTGCTCCGGTCAGGGTGAGCCCCCCGGGGGTCCCAGCCCCGCACCCCGCGCACCTTCCTCTCCTGGGCCTCGGCCTGGACGCTCTCCCATTTCTGCTCCAGGAGCCGCAGGCTGTGCTCGGTGCTGCAGGGCCGGCCCGCGCGGCACGAGTCCAGCAGCCGCTGCAGCCGCTCCCGCAGCCCCCGGTAGGTCACGGCCCGCGCCTCCAGCTCCCGGCACAGCTCCTGCCGGGACAGCGCCCGCCGCGGGACCGCCGTCAGGAACGGCACGGGGAGCACGGCCAGGAAACGGACAGGGACGAGGGGGGGGGAAGGCAGGTGACAGGTACAGGGATGGGAACGGGGATGGGGATGGGGATGGGAACGGGGATGGGGATGGGGATGGGAACGGGGATGGGAACAAGGATGGGGATGGGAACGGGGATGGGAACAGGGATGGGGATGGGAACAGGGATGGGGATGGGAACAGGGATGGGAACAGGGATGGGAACAGGGATGGGGATGGGGATGGGAACAGGGATGGGGATGGGAACAGGGATGGGAACAGGGATGGGAACAGGGATGGGAACAGGGATGGGAACAGGGACGGGGATGGGGATGGGAATGGGGATGGGAACAAGGATGGGGATGGGTACAGGGATAGGAACAGGGACAGGAACAGGGATGGGGATGTGGAGGGGTCAGGTAAAGTAGACAGAGGACAGGGATGGGGACAAGGGAGACAGCCATAGCGAACAGGGAGAAGGGATAAAGACAGGGATGTGGATGGGGACAGGAACAGGTTCAGGGCAAGGGACGAGGACAAGGATGGCTCCTGCTGTCTTACGGAGCTGCAGTGGCTGAGGGAGGGGTACCAGGCTCCGCCCGGTTGGGGAGAGGAGGCAGCAGGGAAGGATCCTGGCCCAGCAGTGTGCAGAGGGGTGGATCTGGGGCACACATCCGCCCAACAGACGCCAGGGGCCGGTCCTGCAGCCGGCTGGCGCTGGTTCTCACCAGGTGCGCGTTGAGCTTCTCTTTGGTGGCATCCGGGTGGCCCCAGGCCGGCTTGGAGCAGAAGAGCTGCAGCTCCACCTGCTCCAGCCATTGCAGCAGCTCCGTGATCTCCAGGGTGATGTCCTGCACCTGAGGGCGAGGCGAGGCTCAGCGCCGGCCCCGCCGCCCGGCAGCGCCGCGGGCCCGCGGCCGTACCTGGCTCAGGTTGTTCTCCAGCTCCAGCTGCCGGCTCTCGGTCTCGCTGCGCACCAGGTCCCAGCGCTGCCCCAGCTGCTGGAGGCTGCGCTGCAGCCCCTCCACGCTCTCCCCCAGGCTGGAGAGCAGCAGCCCCTGCCCAGCCTCGGTCACCGACTGCACCGTGCGCGCGTGGGACATCACGTCTGTCCGCAGCACCTGGGGACGGAGCGCCGGGGTCACCCCACGTTCCTCTGCACAAAGCAAAGCCCCTCACCCCGAGGCAGCACCGCTGTCACCGCGGCCCTGGGGACTGACTGAGGGGTCACACCGGGCAGGGACGGCACCCGTGGGTGCCCCCAGGCCGCGCTCAGGACCGCTGATCTCAGCGGGGTGCGGGGCATTCGGGGCAGCGGGGTGGCCGGGCCAGGCGCAGAGGGGACAGGGACCCCTTGCACGGCCCCCGCGGCGAGGGGACAGCCCGAGCCTCGCAGCCTCGCCTGCTCCAGGCACGTCAGGAGCGTGCCCGGGCAAGGGGCTGAGAGACACCTCATTCCTTCCGTGCTGTCACCGCGGGAGGGGACGCGTCCCCGCGCCGCAGCCTGCCCAGCCCGGCTAACGCAGCAGCCGAGGAGGGGCCGGGCAGCGCCCTGTGGCCAGCACCCTCACCCTGGGCTGCCACCGCGGCCAGGAGACCACCCTGGGGTGCCACCACGGCCAGCACACCCACCCTGGGGGTGCCACCACGGTCAGGACCCCCAGGACGCACACCCCGGTAGTGTGACTGTGGCCACGGGTCCCTCGGGCCACTGTGCAGCCTCACCTTGTGCTTGGCCAGCTCGATCTCGCAGCTCTGCAGGTCGGGGCGCAGGGGTGCGGGGCCGCGCAGCTGCTCCCCGGTGCTGCTCAGCCACTGCAGCAGCTCGGCCAGCTGGTGCTGGAACTGCCCCAGCCCCAGCAGCGCTGCCTCCAGCTGGTGCTGCCAGGAGGGAGCCGCGGCGTCGGGGGAAGCAAGGGCAGCCCCGGCCCTGTGCACCCACAGAGAGCCCAGCGCCCACCCAGTGCCCACCCGGCCCTGGGCACCCACCCAGTGCCCACCCAGCACCCACCCAACACCCACCCAGTGCCCACCCAGTGCCCACCTGACCCTGGGCACTCACCCATTGCCCACCCAGCACCCACCCAACACCCACCCAGCGCCCACCCAGTGCCCACCTGACCCTGGGCGCTCACCCAGTGCCCACCCAGCACCCACCCAACGCCCACCCAGTGCCCACCCAGTGCCCACCCGGCCCTGGGCACTCACCCGGTGCCCATTTGCAACCACCCACGCTGACCCAGCACCACACACCCAGCACGCACAGGACGTGCCCACCCAGCCCATTCCTGGCACCTCACGTGTCCTGCCAGCCCTGCCCCGAGCCCCCCGTGCCCCCTCCCCACCTGTCGGCTGACGATCTCCTCCTCCAGGTGGTCCCAGCGCTGGCGGAAGTCGCTGAGGGTGGCCGGGGGGTCCCCCTGCCCCGAGCCCCCCTGGTGCCGCAGGCTCTCCACATCCACCTTGCACTGGTACAGCTCCCGCTTGAACTCCTGGGAGGTGGCACTGCTCGGTGACCCGGCCCCACACAGCGGGGCAGGGTCTGCCTGACCCCCCGGCACCCCACGGCACAGCACAGGCACCGGGGCTGCTCCTGCGGGGCTGCCCGGCCACCTCAGGGACTTGTGGGGGACAGGATTTGGCTACCCCAGGCAGGACTTGGCTACCGAGCGCCCGCCGCTGGGGCACTGCCACTGTCCCACCTGCCATCCCCCCATCCCACCTGTGCCCTCCCGGCCCCCACGGCCCCGCGTGGCACAGGGTGGCACCTTGAGCTCCGCCAGCTGCTGCTGCACCATGTCCAGGTCCCCGCCGACCAGGAACTCCTCGGCGATGCGCAGCTCGGCTGCGTCCAGCCACTCCAGCAGCCGCTGGCATAGGGAAAACGGGCATTGGGGGGACCCCACGGTGGCCCCATGGTCCCTCACACCCCTGAGTGGGGACAGGAAGGTGACGCAGTCCCCTCCATGGAGGACCTGCCTGAGGGCAGCCCACCTGCATGGTGTCCTGGTAGCTGAGAGCGGCCTGGAGCTGCTCCTCGAGGCGCCCGTTCCGCTCCGTCCACACCCGGCTCAGGCTGTGCCAGGAGGAGTAGAGCTGCGGCCGGGCACGGGGGTCAGTGGTGCCACAGCGGGACAGGGGCACAGGAGGACAGGGTGTGGGGGTCAGGGGTCAGCAGTGACCCGGGGGGCACAGGGGGACAGGGTGTGGGGGTCACAAGTGTCAGGGAGGTGGCCAGGGCACAGGGCTGCCAGCACATGGACATCCAGGCCTGGGGACCAGAGGCCCCACGGAGTGCCTGGGCACAGGGTCAGTGGAGCTGTGTGGGGGTCAGCGGCACCGAGGGGGGCTCTGGGGTGCGGGGCTCAGCGGCGCTGCCGGGGGTCGGGGACATGCCAGCCCCACAAAGCAGCATCCACACCCCGCCAGGGCCCTGCCCCTCTCTGAAGCCGAGGACACTCACATCGTCCAGGCTCTTGGTGACGTCGGGCTTGTCGGGGTCCCCGCAGGAGGCCATCAGCTCCACGCCCAGGCTGCCCAGCGTGTCCAGCTCACCCTGCAGCGCGTCGATCTCCTCCCGCAGTGCCTGCGCGGGGCACGGGGCTCAGGGCTGCCCTCGCCGGGGGCCGCCCACCGAGCCCCCCGCCCAGCCGTACCTGCATGGTGCGCAGCCGCGTGCGGATGGCCTCGGGCTCGCCACCGGCCTCCTCCAGCCCCAGCACCAGCTGCTGGGTGTCACTGAGCGCCACGGCCAGCTCAGACAGGCCGTGCCAGAAGCGCTCGGCCAGCGCCAGCAGCTCCCGCAGCCAGCGCTCCCGCTCCTGGCAGCGGCCGCGCAGGCAGCCCCACTGTGCCAGCAGCTGTGCCGCGCGCTCCTGGATCCCTGCGGGGCACAACGGGTCAGGGACCGGGGTGCCCGGCGCCCGCACACAGCCCCGACAGCGACACGGATCGCCTGCCGGGCCGGGCCGTGCCCACCCCTCCGCTCCGGTACCTCTGGCGGCGGCGTCGGAGCTGACCGCCTGCATGGTACCCAGCAGCTCCTCGCCCTGCGCCCGGATGCCCTCCAGGGCCACCCCGAGCTTCTCCAGCTCGCCCAGGGCCAGGCTGTTCTCCCGGATCTGCTCCCGCAGGTGGGCCGCGTCGCCGCGGACAGGGGGCTGGCTCTGCAGCCGGCTCTGCAGCCGCTCCAGGCACTCCAGCAGCAGATCCATGCGCTCCGACAGCTGGGGAGCAGCCCGGTGACTCGAAGGCAGGGCCCTGGGGACGCGCCCCAACAGGGCCGTGCCAGCCCCGTACCTGGCTGTATCGCGGCAGGGCATCCTCCAGCAGAGCCGCCGCCTGGCGCACACGCTCGCGGATGTGGCCGTACTGCTCCTCCAGCTCCTGCCAGCGCCGCTGGAACGGGGCTCCCTGCTCTGGGCTCAGCTCCAGCAGCTGCGCCGACACGCGCTGCAGCTTCCCCACCAGCGGCCGGTGCTCGGCGATGGCCTCCCGCAGGCTCTGGGGCGAGGAAGAGCCGTGGGGTGCTTTGGGAAGGGCTGTGCCCCACGGGATGTGCCCCACAGGGCTGTGCCCCACGGGATGTGCCCCACGGGATGTGCCCCGCAGGGATGTGCCCCACGGGATGTGCCCCACGGGATGTGCCCCACGGGATGTGCCCCACAGGATGTGCCCCACGGGATGTGCCCCACAGGGATGTGCCCCACGGGATGTGCCCCAAGGGCTGTGCCCCACAGGGCTGTGCCCCACAGGGATGTGCCCCATGGGATGTGCCCCACGGGATGTGCCCCACAGGGACGTGTGCTGGGTGCTGCTCCCACGGGACTCCTGTTCGCTCCAGCCCCATGGTGCCCACGGCGATGCCACCCCCGTCCCGTCACCTCTCCCAGCCTGGGGGCGGCCGAGCGAGTCCCTTTTGCCCCTGCCCTGCCCGCACCTGCAGCAGCGCCTGCTGCTCCTTGAAGGCCTCGTAGCTGATGGCGTTGGGGGAGAGCTGCACGCCCAGGGCCTGCGTCTCCTCCAGCCAGGGCAGCAGCTCCTCGAGGGCCTCGGAGAACTGGGTGAGCAGGGACTGGGCGTGCTCCAGCTGCACGGCACAGGCGCCGCTGCGCAGGGAGAGCTGCTCCGTGCGCTCCCGCAGCGCCTGCACGGACGGCTGAGGAGACAGAGGTCACCGCGTGGCCGGGGACACGGGGCACAGCCGTCCCTGGGCGCTGGCCACGTCCCCCCGGCGCCCTCCCGGCTCACCTGAAGGCGCTGCCGCAGGGGCTCGGGGCAGCAGCGCAGCAGCGGCTCCGAGAAGCCCAGCAGACGCTCAACCAGGCCCCGGCAGTGCAGGATCTCGGCGGAGAGCAGCTGCAACGGAGCCGCAGGTGGGTGCCGGGTCCTGGCAGGAGCCGGCGGGATGGGGACACCAAGGCAGTGCCCCCGGCACCCCTGGACGCTGCTGCAGACCCACCTTCTGCTCGGAGAGCTGCGAGCGCAGAGCCTCAGCATCCAGCTGCACGCGGCCGATCTCCTCCAGTCGCTCACCCAGCCCAGCCACACGGCTGAGCTGGGACTCCAGGACCTGCTCAAACTGCAGCAGAGGGACACACCTCAGCCAGGGAGGGTGTGAATGCACCGGGACAGCTGCTTCGGTCACGGATGCCCAGCGCATCCCACGGGGCTGTGCCACAACCCAGCACGTCCCATCCACACCAAACTCCCCCTGCAGACAGCGAAGCTGGCAATGGTGAGGGGCTCAGGGAGCCCAGTGTCCCACACCTTCTCCCTGTCACTGGCAGTGACTGAGGGCTCCTGGCCATCCTGCTGGCTCTCCTGCTCGCCCAGCTCCTTCTCCATGCGGCTCAGCCACAGTGCCAGGTCCTCAGGGGCCGTGCCCAGGTGAGACGAGGCCTCCAGGGTCTGTCCCAGCCGGTGTGCGGTGTCAGCACTGCTCTGGCCCACGATGAGGTACCTCATCCTCAGCGATTCCATCTTCTCCTGTGTCAGCTGGGCCTCCTCCCCTGTGGCAGTGTGACACGGGCATCAGGGCACTGCACTGGCACCCCTGGGCATGGAACTGGCCACACTGAGAGCTTCCAACCACTGATGTGATGATCACTCTGTCCTGACCTTTCCCCTCTCCTACCCCTGCTGCTCCCAGACCCAGCTCTGGCCTCTCATCCCACGGCCAGCAAGGCTCACCTCCCCAGCTGCACCTTGCCACCTCTGAACCCTGTCCCCCCATGGCCCTGACCCACAGGCTCTGTCCTGGCCCCTCTGCACCCCATGGGGTGCTGTCTGCCCCCTCACACCACACCACGGCTCCCGGTGGGGAGCAGCACGCCCCAAGGACCCCCAGTGCCTGGGGGTCCCCTTGCTGGCCTCGGCTGCCGCTGTCTGTGCTCATCCCATCCCAAGTCCCATGGTCCTGACCCTGCGGCCAACACTCCCAGCCATTGCCACTCGCCTGTCACCATCTCCAGGACCCGCTGCCCGCTCTCCAGGGCACCATCCAGCTCTCCCAGCCGCCCACGGATCTCCTCACAGAGGGCCTGCAGCAGTGACCAGTGATGACACAGGTGCCCGTGTCCGCCCTGCGCTCACCCCGCGCCCACCCTGTGCCCACCTGGGTCTGCTGGTGGGCATCCTGCACGCGGCCGACGCAGCCGTCAGCACGCCAGAGCTGGGCCAGCTGCCGCTCTGTGGCACCGAGCCACTCCTGGAAGGCGTCTACGGCCTCCTGGAAGCCCTGGGCTGCGGGCAGGATCCGCTCCAGGCAGCCGTACCTGTGCCGGGAGGGCTGGGTGAGCGGGCAGCCCCCGGCCCGAGGTCCCAGCCAGCAAAGCCTCCTGTCCCCACAGCGGGGTGCTGCCCTGACGTGAGGGACACAGCGAGGCCGGTGTCCCCACAGCGGGACCCGTGGGGACAGCCCGTGCGAGGGACTGTCCCTGCAGCCCCGGACCCGCTGCTCCTGTGCAGCCATGGGGACGCTCCCCCCATGGAGGTGCCCCAGGGCCAGTGGGGCAGAGCACGGGGACATCGGGGTGTCACAGAGACACCAGCGGGCAGAGCCTGTGCCAGCGGGCCGGGGAGGCCGGTCCAGTGATGAGGGCTTGGCCCTGACCCACCTGGCTTCAGCCTCCTGCATCAGCTTGTCCCACCTCTCGCCGAGGCTGAGGAGGCCGGCGCTGCCCTCGGGCGCGGCGGTGCCAGAGCCCTGTGCCGTCAGTCTGTCCTGCAGGACGAGCTCCACGCGCGGCCTCCGTTCCTCCAGCAGGCGCTTCAGGAGCTGCGGGGACACCGCGCTGTGCCGGGGGCTCCCGTGCACCCCTCCCACCTCGGCACAGCCCCGGGCGGCCGCTCCAACCCCGGCCCCCTAATCCCGGACAGGGCACGCGTGGGCAGGACCCGCCGGCCGGCCCTGCTGACCTTCTGCTCCTCCAGCTGCGCCTTCACCACCTTCGCCTCCGCCGACGGCGGCTTCTGGTTGCTCACCAGCTCCTCCATGTCGGCCACCCAGGCCAGCAGCCGCTCCAGCGTCTCCTGGCCCCGGTCCGCTGCCTCCTCTGGGACGGGGACAGCCCGTGAGGACACCTGTGGGGAGAGGTGGCTGAGCCGCCCATGCAGCCATGGGGCAGGCCAGCAGCCCCCACACCGTGCCCTCTCCCCGAGGTGACACCGGGAGCACGTCCAGCCCCCGGGGTCCTGCCTGGCATCTGTCACAGGGCTCCCCAAAGCAGAGGCCGCCCACCCCGAGCCGTCTGGATCCCTCCAGACCCCCAGCAGCCAAAGCTGAGGGAGGGGAGCTCCCTGTCCCACAGCGCCAGGCTGGGTGCCCGGCACGAGGGGTGCCACTGGCCCAGCCCACACCGGGCCACAGACAGTGACTCCACACGAGCCCCGGCCAAGGCCCGTGAAGGTCAAGACTCGCTGTGGAGAAAACCGTGCTGGAGGGCAGCCCTGCGGCCCGGGGTTTGGCACAGCATCCTCCCAGCAAGGATCTCTGTCCGTCGGTCACCTCAGCGCCATCCGTGTGTCCGGCGCAGGCAGCAGCAGTGAGCTCCCCCACGCACTCCGTCAGCACGGTGACCGTCCGGGTGACCACGGGCTCGCCACCCTTCTCACCCGCCGGGTACTCGGTCACCTCCACGATCTCCGTCACGATGGTCTCAGTCACCTCCGTCACCTCTGTCACCTCCCGGGTGGTGACGGGTTTCCAGGACCAGGTGCTGCGGGGAACGCTGGCTCGGGGGGGGGTCCAGGCTGCGCCCCCCACCTGCCCCCTCACCGCAACTCCAGCCGCACCCCCGTTCTGCACCGCCACCTCGGACTGGCTGCGCCTCAGCACCGGGCTGCCCGGCCGGCTCCGGATGGCACCGGGCACCGGGCTCCAGCCATTCTCCACCGGCACCGGCGCCTTCTCCAGCAGCCCCGGCCAGGCCTCCGTGCCGCCTCCAGCGGATGGCTGCCCCGCGTCCAGCCCTGGCTCCCGCAGGAGCTCCTCCGGCCGCCGGCTCTTCTCGCCCAGGCAGCTGGGCCGACTCACCGAGTTCCCCATGGCGCGGGCGCCGGGCCCCCGCCTCAAATCCCGGCCTGCAATGAGGCAGGGGATGCGCGTTACCGGGGCCACCGCGGGACCCCCGGGGCTAGGGTGGGCCCTCACTCCTCACTTCGCTGACCCTAACCCTGACCGCGCACTGGGGCACTGGGGGTCCCGGCCCCCCGGCAAAGGACTGCCAAGGCCCAGGGTACCGGGACAGGGAGATGGGACACTGGCTGTCACCGGGGCCTGGCGGAGGGAGGGGACCCCGAGGGACCCCCCGGCAGTGCCCGGGTGCCTGTCCCACGCGTCTGGGCAGAAGACGCGGCAGTGGCGGCAGCGCCAGGCACTGGGGAGAGGCAGATGCTCCCGCCCGGCACCGCCTTGTGCCGTTGGATTAACGGGGAGCCGGGAGAGAGGAGCATCTGCCCGGGGGGACGGGGGGCTGGGGGCGGCGGGGGCACCAAGCGGGGGGCGGGCAGGGGACGGGCAGGTGGCCTCCCCAGCCTGCAAGCCCCGCCGCAGCCATAAATCCCGGCGTGACCCTGCAGGACCCTCCCCCGGCAGCCCCCCCGCCGCAGCCGCAGTGCTGCTACCCCCGGCCCCGGCCTCACCCCCGGGCCTCCGGCACGGCCCCGGGCACACGCCCCTGCGCACGTGTGTACACACAAACACACGTGTGCACACACAAACACACGTGTGCACACACAAACACACGTGTGCACACACAAACACACCTGTGCAAACACGCACACGCACCCCGCACACGCACACACAACACACACACACACAGCCGTGCGCACACAGCCCCCCGACAGGCAGAGCCCACGCTCGCACCCCTGCTCGGGGGGGGATCAGCGACACGACCCCCACACCTGTGACATGAAACGCGCCTGTAGCAGCCCCGCACACGCGTGGGGCACCCACCCGCACCCACCGCGGCCGTGCCCCTGCCGTGGGGACCGTACCCCGAGCCCCAGGGAGCGGCGGGAGCGCGCCTCGTGCGCGTCCCCGCACACGCATCCACAGAGGGTCCCCACACGCGCAGCGCCGTGGGCGCTCCCACCCCACCGCGCCCCCCGCCTGTCGGGGTCCCGCGGGGCTGCACGGGTGGGTGGGTGACCCGGGGAGACCACGAACCGCGCCACCCGCCCCGGGGGGGCTGCGGGACACGGACCCCGCCCGGCCCCACGCGGAGCCCCCGCCCCGCACTCACCCCTCGGCGACTTCGGGCGTCCATGGGGCCGGCCCGGGGGCGCCGCCGCCGCCGTTACCGTTCCGGGGGGCCCCGGCCTGTGCGGGGGAGCGGGGCGGAGGCAGCGGGGGGAGACTCGGTCCCCGTTACCGCCGCCCCGGCCCCGCCGCCTTTGTGCGCCGCGCCCGCGGCGCGGGGGGAGCGCGGGGGGCACCGGGCGGAGACCCTGGCACCGGCACCGGGCCGGCTCGGCTGGGCTGACCCCCGGAACACCG